CCCCTAGTCGCAGCAACTTCCTCTCAACTTCCTTAACCTCTAACCCTAATTTAATGGTCGATTGATAATGAGTACAAAAAAAAAACTTCCTTAACCTCTAACTCGTCGTCATTTTTTAACATATTATTTGAGTATTATATAAAAATTTACTTTTAACATTTATTTGCACTTAACACAATTTTTTTATTATGAGGCTCACGCCTCAAAATGCCTTGAGGCTTACACCTCGCCTTACAAACAAAAAATGCCTTAATACCTAATTGTGCATTTTTAAACATGGTATGATAGTGCTGATGACTTATGAGTTCCTATGTGACATGTCATTGTTATTTATTTTTGGAATTATATGTTAATGAAAAGAATACTATGATTTGTGAAAGATGGAGTTTGAGTTGAACTATATTTCATGTTGTCTTATTATTGGGATATTTTGATTTTACTTCATATCTTGAGGGCATTTTTATGTTTTATATATTATTTACTCATTAGTATATACAAAATTTATCATTTTATGTTTACGCAATTTTTTGATTTTGAGGCTTACGCCTCAAAACGCTTTGAGGCTTACGCCTCGCCTCACGAACGAAAAACACCTCAATACTCGATTACGCAATTTTAAACATTGTTTCTAACCAAGTCTTTTTAGGTCTACCCCTACCTTTCTTAACATAAGTCAAATCTAATACCTCTATTCTTCTAACCGGGTCATCGCAAGGCCGCCGTTTTATGTGACCAAACCATCTAAGATGACTCTCTCTTATCTTCTACTACTCCAACCTTTTCATGTATATGCTCATTTCGTATCCTATCTCTAAGGGTAAAGCCACTAATCCACCTGAGCATCCTCATCTCTGCCACACTCAACTTAGTATTATGCTTCTCTTTTAATGGCCAACATTCGGCACCATAAAGCATTGCAGGCCTCACTACCATCTTATAGAATTTCCCCTTAAGTTTGAGGGGTACATTTCTATCACATAAACTGACTACAAAAGAAAAATATAGTTTTGAATATCTTAGAAGTTTAATTTCAAATCCATCCTTTGAAGTAATGTCTCTTCAGATGCAATATCCACATTCAATTTGAATTTAGAGTTATCAAAGATGGGTTAAAAGTATTCAAACATCTTTAAAATAACTCTGATCTATATGCTAAAATATATTCCGCATGTGCTCCGATCTTTGAGTCAAACTCTTAAGTATGGGATCTGAGAATGCTTCGCGGATTCATCAGAAGTGCTTAAATACCCTGAAAATAATTGTGTTGGCGGAAATTTAAAACTGAGAGAACTTTATAATTTTCAGAATACCCTCAAAAGTCTAAAATCATTAATTTAGAACCTTAATTCAAATCCTACCAATATTTTAAATTCTTGAAATGAAATACTCCTCATGTGCTCTAATCTTTATGTCAAGCTCCTAAATGCGAGATCTGAAATGCTTTGCGGATTTGTTAAAAGTGCTTAATCACCTTAATGATGGTCATGTTGATAAAAAATCTCAACCGGAGGGGATCCTAAACTTTTAAGATGCCTTTCAAATTCACGAAAACACAAATATATTTAAAAGTTCTGGGAAAATTATAAGCGCTCTCTCCCTAAAACTCAATTTAAAAATAATAATAATAATAATAAAAACAACCATAAATCCTCTCTTTACTATAATCCTATCTCTGAGGTTGTACACATTGGCCCTAGCTAGTGAGGACTCTTGTATCTTTTACTCCAAAAGAACAAAGGCCCGTGGTGGATCACTGTTTCAACATGCAAAATGTGAGAAGAGACACACGAGATTGTTTAGACATGTAAAGTATGGCCCTAACCTAATAGAACATAATATATCAAACAGCACTGCCATATTGTATGAGGAAGTTAGGATAAAAGATAAGTTGTGTCAAGATTATCAACGTGCAAAGTGCAATGCAACCCCAAAGATTTAATTTTATTTTATTTTTATTTTGAATGATGAAGCACAAATAAAGCTAGCACTTCTGTTAATGGATGCAGACAATACCACTAGAAATATTACCTGGTATTATAATGTTTAACAACCATTATCCAAGTTAAAATTATGAAATGATTTATGGGATTTTTAGGTTAAATGTTAATATAGAAAATTATTTCCAACTAGCATGAAAATTATTATCCACAGTAAATGAAAGTTGACATGTCTATAAAAAGGAAATAGACAACATGTGCTTAAACTGGCTATTCATGGCATTGTTTGTGAGCATGATTGAAATGGTTTCATCTGCTACTGTTTCTCGGGTGTTAATTTTGGATGATTTTTCCATTTTTGTAAATTATTTTGCAACTTGTTTTTTCTTGATTTATATATTTTCTTGTTTTCTATAGGTTCAACGACTAGCATCAATTTATGCATTACGCAGTGGCTGCCAAGGCTCAGGCAAGAAGAGGTAACATACAGTTATTTCATGTTAAAGTTTATTAAGATAACCTGCAACTTTGCTGAAGGTGTTAACCAGTATATTTATTTTGGTGGAATATATACTGCAAACTATCAATCATGTTAGTACACATTTACGAAAGTTTACTTTATGATTGAGCACTCTTGAGAATTAATTTGGTGAGCACTAGGATGAAAAGTGTGTTGGAGGTATATTAAAGTTGTTAAAGATAAGTAAGATGTAACATTGCCGTGTTTGGAATAATTATGGAGTTACCAATGTTTTTCCAATCAAAATAATGTTACAATAATTATTAATATTATTCATATATCTTTTTATTGATTATAGAGATGCTTATAAAAGATTTTCAAAAAATATATGTTTCTGTAGGTAATGGTATGACAAATAATATAAGCAGGATATGAGAGATTTCTTTTAAAGCGTGTTAAATTAATCTAAATTTTTTTAAGAATTTAAGAGGTTAAGGGTATTAGAACACAAATTCACTGCATGATATTCTTTAATGGAAGTGAAATTGATAAGTAACAACCAAAATGTTTAGAAAATTTAGTGATACTTATATGTGATAGAGTAAAAGCCTAAAAATATCCACCGACTATTAATGAATGTCTAATTTAATCTCAGACTTTCATAATGACACAACGTAGTCCTCAAACTATTAGAAAATGTCTCAATTTGGTTCTAATGCCAAAAGTAATAATTAAAGTTAATCCCAACAGTTAAATGTGAGGATATTTGGGGTTTTAGGATGTATGTGAGATTATATTATTATTTTTATATGTTTTATTGTTTATTATGTTAAAATAAATACAAAAATTATAATACAAGTTAACTATGTTTATTAACTATTCACTCTGTTACTTTTGACATGATGATCAAATTGAGATATTTTCTAATAGTCGGAGGACTATATTAGGTCATTATAAAAGTTTGGAGCTAAGTTAGACATTTACTAATAGTTAGAGGACTATTTTGGGCTTTCACTCGTGATAAATATAAGCATCTTGAATCTATTAGTTAAAATATGAGGAATAAGATAATGAAAGAAAGAATTTCTCAACATCTTAAAAAGGGTATAATAATGCCTTTAAAGCAATAATTGGCTTTATTACTTGATCGATTTTGAAAATAGAAAACTAACATGGAGGTCAACAGGGTTTAGGGGGTCCATTACTTAAAGATATTCAAAATTTCATTTTGTTTTATAGGCCTTGAAATTTAAAATTATTTAAACATGTTGTTGATTGTGTGGCATAGGTCTTCAACCAACAACAACAACAACATCAAGCCTTTATCCCACTACGTGGGGTCATCTACATGAATCCTTTTTCTCCATTGTGTCCTATTAA